CATATTTTAAGCTTTATAAAGTTATAATTTGTTAATATTAATATTTGCGCGTATTTCAGGTTCCTGATCATTCATTTTTTAAAGGTTTATAACTTTAAATTAAATTGTGAAGCGCTGAGTAATCATACGACGTTCAATATTCTTTCTTTCAATATGACTAAATAATCCCAATTATAGCAATCTGATACTCATGTCTCAATGTTTTTTCGCTGAATGTGATGAAAACATTTGAAAAAGGTTCGCTTATTGAAATAAATCTACACCAGTTAGCACTTAGATTTCCAGGTAAAGGGAAAAAGCTCATTATCTGCCATATTGGCAGTGAGGATGGATTTGTTGTTGACGGTCTGTGGTGCTTTGGGTCTAAGAAAACTGGAGATTACCACGAGGAAATGGGCGAATCGTTTGAACAGTGGTTTTCAAAAATTTTACCGAACTTAGAGGAAAACGCAGTAATTGTGTTGGATAATGCGCCTTATCATTCTCGAAGAATGGAGAAGGTCCCAACAACGGCTTCAAGGAAAGTTGATGTTCAAAATTGGCTCCGCTCGAAAGATATCAACTTTGAAGAAGCAATGCTGAAAGTACAATTATTAAGAATTGTCAGGGATCACAAGGCGGAATACCAAAAATACGCCATTGACGTAGTGGCAGCAAGTCAAAATAAAACTGTGCTCCGTTTACCTCCATACCATTGCGAGCTCAATCCCATTGAGCTCATATGGGCAGAGGTTAAAAATTATATAGCTAAGCACAATACAACTTTTAAATTTTGTGACCTCAAAGGACTTTTCAAAGAAGCACTAAAATTAATAACAGCGCAAAAATGGGAAAACTGTATTAAGCACGTGAAAGACAAAGTTGAAAAGATAATGTGGGAACTGGACAATATTTTAGAGGAACAAGTCGAGCCATTCATTATTGACGTTGGTGCTTCAGGCAGTAGCGATGATGAAAGCTCATCAAGCTCATCTTTCCAATAAAAGATGTCGTTCATCAAATTCGGTAAGTTATAAGTAATTATAAAGCTACTGTATTTTTTAATTAATTATTGACATTTTTGAACCCATTTTGGCAAAACCTATTCAAGAATCTACTTTCTGACAATGTTCAACCATGCACATTTTTTTACGTTTTGAACGTTTTAATTTGGTTACATATTTACCTAGAAATCAAAAAATATACTAATCAATATTCTAAAAGCAATTTTAAGAGATATACGATTATTTTTAATTTAGGCTAATTTAAACGCCATTTTGAGATTATATTCGACTGTATTTCACCAAACATCAGGCGGCATCCGAAGCTGGAAATCGAAGCGAAAATTTTGAAACCCTTATGTATATTTACATCATTATATATTTCTTACCCCACCCCCACATGATCCTATATCCATCACCAATCGTATACACATCGAATTGTCCTAATTTACTACAAAGTTACGCAAAGCAGCATCTACTATCTAAAATATGTACTGCGTGACTCTTAATACGTCCCTGCCGAATGTTACAGCGTTCGATGATCACGTGGTCTTGTTTATGTCCGGTCTATCTCTTATCTGAATATACTGTAGTTATAGATACAATGGACTTTGTACCGATGAGCGGAACGGTTGTCACCGAGTGACGGCGTACGAAATTTTATCTTCAAACAAACCTCTCTAGACGCTATCTCGACGCTCCCTCATCTCACCGAATTAACACCACCCGTGTAATTCCTATTCCTCTTCCAAGTCTTATCGAACGAAAGGTCAAAGTAACAAAGTAAGATCTCGATCTTTCTCGGGATCCGGCATGGAACTCAATTCGGTGTCGGCACGTCTCGAGACCCTCTTCTGTGCCGTGTTCGATGTAATCAAATGCACCTGCAACCGTACGTGGAGAATGGAGGACGGACCCACGACCGCCATGCTGTAGTAGTCGGCCGATCGGTCTGTATGTCGGTCTGTCGTTTGACACGGCCGCGCTACGTGCTGACGTCCGACACGCCCCTCGGGTTCTGGGCCCGTGTTTCGAACAGATCAGTGGATGCAGGCAACTGCGTCAAGGAGGCAGACGCTGCATTTCGGTATGTTCGGCACAGCTTAGCCTCTAAGAGAAACGTATGTGATAATCAAAAAATTAAATGCATCAAGCAAGTCAAATAGACCCATAATAATGGTAATAGTAATAATAATAATAGGAGGAAGATGGACATTGGAAAACAGCTGAGACAACAAGTAACTAACTTACGTTCCTCCTTTATGGAAAAGCTGAATACTCCGAGTTGCATCGTGTCATATGTGCTGTAGACAATGCTACACCCTTGAGTCTTAGCGATATGGAATCTCAATTATCACCACAAAAATGCAACGTTGGTGGGAAGAGCCTTTACATAGAAGGCATGACCACGAGGTGAGCCAAGAGACTGTTGACATAAGGGCGTCAAACAAGTTGCTTGTTTCTGGGCAAAAGTTCCCAGAGAGTGAAGGCTTTCTTGTATTTATACATTATCAGATAATCCCAACGAATAATTATAAGAAGTACATCCTCAAAGTTCCTCAACACAACGAGAGGTGCAGATTCGGATGCCCAGACTCTGAAACTATTCAGCACGTGATTGGGGGGTGTCAGGCGTTCGCCACGACGGACTATAAGGAAGCAGCCAAAATCCTACATCAAGAACTAGCTTACAAATTCAAGCTTATAGATCAAATGACACCCTATTAAGCTATATTGGGACCGCACTGTCTTCACCGACTAGAACACGGGACATAACCGACCAGATACAATTGTTGTCAATAAGAAACTGAGTAAAACAACCCTCATCGACATCGCCATACCGGACAATAACAACTTACAAAGCACAACGAAAAAATCGCCAAGTATAGGGAGCTCGAACTTCAAATCAAACAGCAATGGAAGATGGACGGTGTTGATACCATCCCAATCATTCTGTCATCAACTGGAGTAATCCCAAGAAAGCTGCTGGAGAATATCAAGAAAACGGGGCTCAATGAAAATATTTACAAGACGGTGCAGAAAGGAGTGTTATTGGCAACTGCTCGTACACTTCGGAAGTTCATCGGAAATGCGAAAAGTAACGTCCTTACGTAACAAGCTGCAATAAAACGCATACCGTTTGATACCGTATGCATCTGGGATGAGTGAATGATACCCCAATGAGGAGAAAAGTACCACGTGGCAAAAACAATAATAATAATAATAATCATTATTGCCCAACAGTCTCCCAAGTACAGGAGAATAAGACATAAGCATACCATAAAACCAAATTAAATAAAAAAGAAACAATATTTGTACGTGAAATATAAAAAACTATTCTATTAGCGGAAAGTACAACAGACAAAAGAAATTAACAAAATTTGTAGGTATAAGCATTGATACACACATGGTTTGGGAGCTATTTATTTATTTAGGAATCTGAAAAGCTGTGTTTCTGGTGATACGTTTCTAACAACATATTATCGATACTTCCACTCAAGAATGTCATACGCACTCTTGAACTAGGGTCACTCTGTGCTTATACCTAAAGTTTTTGCGCTACACAGGTGCTGCATAAGAGTCATCGCAGGTCTCAGTTATATGCAGCTATGTAGGGAAGCAAAGCAAACCATAGACATGCAATGACGGCAATCTCAAGAGCAACTTGCAGGCCAATGTTTGAATACCAATATTATATCATAAAGATTAGCAAACTCTTTTAAGAATAACCTGTTTTCATTTACATTGTTTTCAAAAGTGATTTTCATTATGGACCAACCCTGTACCTGAACCATCACGGTGACCCGTCAGTGATCTCATTGAATGGGACAGTAGACTCTGCCAGATACCCAGGAGTCATCACTGACAAGAGATTGACCGAGCAGAAACACACTGGCACTTGGCAGACTTGACTTTACTCCAGCTTTGTCCTTTGTTGAACAGGAATCTAAAACTAACTTCGATCAACAACCAACGCCCCCATGGTACCCGTCAAATGAGACCATTCACACACAAGTGTTGATATCCAGTGTCTAAGGCGTTGATTCCCAAAGTGGTCTATATCGACCCCTAGGGGTCTATGACAACCTGCAAGGGGTCTACGTCAGCGAAAAAAAATTTGGGGGTCCATGAAATGAATATGGGGGTCCACGATAGTGGATCTCAACACATACACTGATAGTACCTATTTACTTACATCATACTATCTTATAATATCAAAACATATACGTATACATTATTTATAAAAGTACCTTTGAAGTAAAAAGTTTATTATATATGTTTATAAAATTGTGTGAGTTGTAGGATGTTGGTATTCGCTTTGTGGTCGCAATACATTTTGAACTTGTAAAAACCTGAGAGTCGCAGTCTCAGAGCTTCGCTACCTTGCACTGACTTGTTCAATTCGTCACTCTATAAATACGAATGTGGGACAAATACGTTTATTCGTTTCCTGAATCTTGAAAAGGAGAGTGCTAAGAAAATGTTTTAAAAAATATGAACTGATAGTATATCACACAAATTATAGTGAGTCAGTGTTATTTTGTTTGAGAGTGCTGGAGAAAAGTAAGTACATTATTTTTTATTAAATTTTAGTTTTGTACTCGTAGTTAGCAAAGATAGACAAATTACGCCAATCATGACTTTAGTTATTAGTATTTAAATATTCAATCATGCAAAATTACAGGAGTACTCCTCAATAGTTTCTTTTTGAAAGTTTTAGCAATCGGTAATATAATTACAGTGTAATCTCGTAATTCGAGCTAATTGTTACAAGAAGATGTTCGAATTATGGAATGTTTTCTGAAAAATCAAAAAATATGTTTAATATACAGCTACTGGATTTTCTGTCTTATTTAAATAATTTAATTTTGCCCACAGATGACTGATGCCATGTCCGAATCTAAAAAGAAATGTAGACAGTACAGTGTTGATTATTTGAAATTTGGCTTCATTCCATCATTGCCGGACAAACAATCGCCTATGTGCCTTTTATGCAACGAAGTTTTGGGTAATGACGCTATGACACCATCTAAACTGCAAGATCATCTGAGAAGATGCCACCCTGATAAAACAGAGAAAGATTTGAAATACTTTCAAACACTCAAAGATAAATTTCAGAAGAGACCTACACTGGACAGAATGTTCGCTTCGACGTCACAAAGAAATGATGATGGTTTGCGGGCGTCTTACAATATCTTGTTACTTATAGCAAAATCCGGAAAACCGCATACTATCGGAGAGAAGTTAATTTTGCCAGCCGTTGAAGAGGTTTTAAAAAATGTTTTACACAAACCTGCATCTGATATCATTAAAAGAATTCCCTTAAGCAACAATACTGTTGAAAGACGTATTGATGAGATGAGTTCTGATATTGAAAGCTTCTTATGTAATTATTTGCAAACGACCCATTTCTCTATACAACTGGACGAGTCAACTTTACCTGATAATGCAGCATTATTATTGGCATATGTTCGTTTTATTATGAATCAAGAAGTCTACTAAGAACTGCTCTTCGCAAGAACTTTGATGACCGACACCAAAGGTGAATCAATATTTCATGTTTTGAAGGATTACTTCATTGAAAAAGCAATTCCTTTATCAAATATAATATCAGCAGCTACAGATGGAGCACCTGCCATGGTTGGACGTTATCGTGGATTTATAAGCTATTTAAAACAAAATGTGTCAGGGGCGTTAGCAATACATTGCGTCATCCATCGACAACATTTAGTTGCTAAAAATTTGAGTGTTAGATTGCATGAATCACTTCATTTAGTCATTGATGCAGTAAACTGAATCCGAAGCAACGCGATGAATACACGGTTATTTGCGCAGTTGTGTGAAGAAAATGACGAACACTTTTATCAATTACTCCTTCACACTGAAGTACGCTGGCTGTCGAAAGGCTTATGTTTGACAAGATTTTTTGCACTTTTCGAGACTATTTTAGAATTTCTGGATACTAAAGATAAAATTTTAAAAGAAAATTTATTGAAGATGAAAACAGACATCGTCTATTTAACAGATTTGTTCACAAAATTTAATATGGTTAATTTGCAATTACAAGGCGACAGTTTAAATTTGATTAAAACAAAGTCCATCTTATCAGCGTTTCTTGCCAGAGTTAAACTAATGAAGCAAAATATTGTCACAGACAAGCTGCCAGGAAGACGACGTTTCAACTTATGTTCAACATTTAAATGCCCTCTATTCAGATTTTGAATCTAGGTTTGAGGATATTTTGATTATGGTAATACCACCGTGGATAATTAATCCATATGGTGACATAGAAGAAACGAATGTCATAATACAAGAGGAACTGACTGAAGTACAAACGAAGAACTTAAGGTTCAGTTTAAACAGAGATATCAGCAATTCTGGCTGCAAAACAACATACCCGTTACTTATCCCGTATTATGGAATATAGCGAGGACATTTTTAATTTCCTTTCCATCGTCATACCTAGTGGAAAGGGGGTTCAGCGCTGTTACCAATCTCCTAACGAAAAAAGAAACAGACTGGACATCATTAGCCGAGGAGATTTAAGATTAACCCTTACAAAATTGACGCCAAATGTTGATAATTTATTATTAAAGCATCAGGTTCATCCTTCTCACTAAAAATATTGACATATTGCTTATGCTATTTTATTTATAGTTTATTTTATGTTTATTGGTGTCTGAACAATAAATGCCCGCATTGGGAATAAGTGCCCGCATTGATTTTTTTTAAAGAACCCCCTTTATAGAAAATATTTTTTTTTAAAAATTATTCTGAAAATTCAAGGATAGGTACACACTAAAATTCGTCAATTTTTTACCTATTTTTAGATAACTTAAACGTATAAGAAGCGGATTTTAATCAAACTAACAGTGAAATTATTGTAGAACATACGTTAATGTTATAATTAATAAACGAACTAGCTTATTGTACTATTTTAAGTAAAAAAACTTTTTTTTATTATTTTTCACCGTTTTTTTATTTTATCACTCTTATTTTTTTTTCAATTTTTATTCCCAATGCGGGCACTTATTGGTCAGACACCTGTTTATTTAATGTTACGTATATTTTACATAACAGATACAAAATTTTATTTTGAGTAGTTTTAATTTAAATTCAATTAATACATGTATAAATTAACATGTGTTTTTACTTTAAGTTTTTAACACCAAACTTCACTACAGTTAGAAATTTACAGAAAATCAATATCAGGTAAGTAGGGGGTCTACCCAACAGGGCAAAACATGGCAAGGGGTCTACGACACAAAAAAGTTTGGGGAACTCGGGTCTAAGGTATTACGTAAAACAATAAGCAGAGCAGCTGGAATGCTTTCGTCTGCCGAATGGGCCCAATATCCTGCAACTTGATTTGCATTACCTGTTTATACATCTACTAGGCAATGAGACCGCCTGAGAAGATCTGCAGAGGTCTGTGCGGAGTAGCAACGCAGCGCAGCGTCAATTGTAAAGCGACACGTTCGTACTTCAAAGCCGAACTGTGTAGGTGCTCTCGCATTTCCTTCCAATACCACGCCTGCTAGCCTGCTCGAATATATTCAGTTGTTTGAACAACGATACCACGCCAACTCCGCTCAGCTGTATACACCTTGAATTTTACACCCCTGCACACAGATCCGGACTCGATATGGGCTAAATGAATTTTCATGGGGCACTACACGTTCTCTATTTAGTCCAGGACCGTTACGTGTTCAAAACGTTTAGCGAAACATGTCGTACGGCCAATGTGCGTGTGGTTTCAAGTTACTGTGTGAACCCAGTTGTGTTAGCAGCAAACTTTCCAATCATATTGGGGGCACAAGATGTGTTCAAGCATAAATACCTGGAGGCCAAAAACAGCATCAAAGACTGATTAGGGAAACAAAAAGGGCCTATTACCAAAAAAGTATTGTGAGCCCACATGATACAGTTAAATCTGGAATGTAGTAGGTGAACTGAGAGGAAAAAATAAAACAACAAAAAACTTTGTGCTGGACGAAAGTGGGCAAACTATTACTGATCCTCAAGAAAGAGCCGATCACTTTAACAAATAATAATAATAATAATAATAATAATAATAATATTTATTCACTCAATGTACAAAGATAACAAACAATATGAGTAAATAAATATAAAATCAAAACAGGCCCAATAGAAGGCATCGCCTTTACTCTGTACATGGACCAATAATTTAAGTTGAAACTGTAGAATGCAAATGACAAAAAAGGACAAAAATTAGCTACAGTAGATTATGTATTCAGTTGATGTTCGTATTTATGAGTTTATGAATTTCAGTCCTAGATATAGAATGTAGCCACTTTTTTAAATTTCTTTTGAAACAATTTCCGAAACGTAAATCTCTTAAGTCTTTAGGTATAATTTCATAAAATTTAGGCGCTAAATAGAGATATGATCGCTGCATTATAGATTTATGCGGTTGAGGAACTACTGTGCCACGAATTTTGTACCTGGTATAATGATTATGTTTAATTTTTTGGTCGGTGTTTACAAATTTATGGTAGTGAGTGATACTGTGTAAGAAATAAAGCTGTCTTATATCATACATTCGAACATCTGCATATAATTTTTCAGTGGGATAAAGTTTCGGTTTTTTAAATATCATTTTTAGAACACTTTTTTGAAAAACATCTAAATTATAGATATGTGAGGAACATGCAGCTCCCCATGCTAATATACCATATGTGAGATGAGGCTCAATCAGTGCATGGTATAATGTTCGAAGATATTTTTCTGTCAATATATTCCCAAGGTTTTTAATTTTGTAGGATACAAATCTAACTTTCTTTAAAATATAATTGACATGGATGTCCCATCGTAAGTGAGGATCCAAGACCACTCCAAGGTATTTTATGTTGGGCACTCTATTAATTTGCATTTATTGATCATTAATATTGAGGGAGAAATTTGTGTAATTTGGCAGATGTCTAGCATAAGATCCAAATGGTAAAAAATGTGTTTTAGAATAGTTAATGCTTAATTTTCTACTGTTAAACCACCGAATAATTTTGATAAAATCATTTTCAATTACATTTTTCAGATCAGACCAGTCAGTGCCTTCATCTAATATTGCAGTATCATCTGCAAAACTAGTTATTTTGCCAACACAATTAATTTGAAAAATATCATTTAAATATATATTGAATAACAGCGGACCTAAGACAGTTCCTTGTGGGACACCACACTTATTATACATTTCTTTACTAAATGATCCTGATATCTGCACAGATTGTGGGCGATTTGACAAATAACTTTCGATCAGTGAGTACGCGTTTCCTCTGAAACCAATTCTCTCCAATGCTTCTAATAATAATTTGTGATTAACTGTGTCGAAAGCTTTCTTTAAATCAACAAAAATGCAGATTGAAGGGATTCTGTTATCAATATTTTGATGAATTTGATTTACAATTTTAGTTATTGCTTCCCATGTAGCCTTCCCTTCTGTAAATCCATATTGATTTTCACTTAAAATTTTGAATTTTGTGAGATATCGAATCATTCTAGCAGATAAAACTTTTTCAAAAACCTTTGCTACACTGGATATTATTGATATTGGTCTATAGTTGTTAACATCTGTTTTTGTTCCTGATTTATGTATCGGTATTATATTACCTTTTTTTAAAATTGCGGGATATATGCCAGATTCAAAGCATTTGTTGATTAGGTAAGTGAGTGGTTCTGTTATGTCCTCGGCTATAATTTTCAAATGCTTGCTTTTAATATCATCGAACCCAGGACTTTTCCGATTTTTTAAGGACATAACAGTATACTTCACATTGCTCGACTTTATCCAAAATAAATGAGTTCAAAGTTCTTTTGTCAGGCTGAGTATTTTGTACATTTGCTTGTATATTACTTGCTAAATTTTCGCCTATGTCAGTAAAGAATTGTACAAATTCATCGCTTATCTGTTGAGTATTTTTTAATACTGTTCCCGATGTTGTATTTAACTCAGTGACACACACTTTTTTAAATTTTGTTTTCCCAGTAATCTCATCAATAGTTGTCCAAAGCCGCTTAGGATCATTTAAGTTATTATTCAATTTATTTAGGTAATGTTTTCGTTTGGTTTGCCTTACAAGCTCTATAAATTTATTTTTATATTGGTTGTAGCAGTCGGTATTCTCTGTAGTTGGCGTTAGTTTCATTACATTATATAGTCTTTCTTTTTCTATTGCCGATGTTATTAATCCTTTGGTAATCCAGGCATTTCTGCTTTTCTCTTTGTGACTAATTATTACTTTATTGGTACTAATATCTATTAGTTTTTTATTTTCTCTATGAGCAGTCCCGTTGCTTTGTCTATATTATCTATAGAGTATAATTGTTCCCAGGATTCTTGTTTGACATTTTGATATTAGTTTTGAGTTGTCGACAAAAAATTTGTAATTTTCCTGGTTGTTACTAACGGTAGGGATGTTAGAATGTTTTTCATTTGAAGATATCAGTAAAATAGTGGAGAAGTGGTCAGTAATATCGCTTTCTAGGATTATTGGTATACAAGTAATTTTGTTGGATAGGTCTTTCACAAAGCAGTGATCTATACATGTGCCACTGGTGGACCTTGTAGGTAGGTTTATATAGGACAGAAATCCGTTACTTGATAGGTTATTCAAGTATTCATTTGTGATGGGATCATCGTGAAAAATATTTATATTGACATCTCCCAAGAAAATATGTTGCTTTAAATGAACTTTATTTTGATTTCTTTATTTAAAAATTCGTGGGGTTCTGAACATGGCGGACGATAAATTGCAGATACCTCAATTTTGTTATGGTTAATTTGGATCACTATGTTTAAAATTTTGATTCCATCGGTGAAAGTGAATGTATCATGATTATATATAGGTACTTAAAAAATGCTCCTCTAGAAATTATAGAGAAAACATCCAGAAATATTGACACAATTCCTAACTACAACGATGCGGTTAGGGAGCACATGTATCTATACCCATTTACGGCAGAAGATTTCTTTAATCTGATCGACAAAAGGTTAAAAAACAGGCGTTCCTCAGGTGCTGACGAAATTCCTAATTTCCTGGTTAAGAACGTTTTGGTATATATTGTTAGGCCCTTTGTCTTTCTGATCAATCTCTCTTTCTGTAGTGGCTCTTTTCCAGATAGCTTAAACAATGGGAAAGGTAACTCCTATACACAACAAGGGAGAAACTATTAACGCAAAAAATTACAGACCGGTGACGTCTCCCTGTTGTTTTTCTAAAATTTTCCAGTACTGTTTCTTGAGTCGGTTGACGCTGTTCGTTAAAAGAAATGAGGTACTAACATCCAACTAACACGGTTTTCGCAACAGTAGGTCAACACTAACAGCATCTCATTCGTTCTTCAATACGCTAGTTCGGTACATTGAGGCAGGAGAATGCCCTGTTGGTATCTTCTGTGATCTAAGCAGGG